CATCTTGCTGTGTTTGGCCTTGCATTGTCATGTTGGAAAAAGAGTCCACGAGGCTGTTGCTGAATAAAGGGCACCACAACAGGCCGTAGGATGTCATCAATATAACGCTGTGCATTCAGGTTTCCACGAATTACGACAAGCCTCGTTTTGACGTCACCACATATGCCACCCCAAACCATTAACCCTCCACCTCCAAACGGCCGGACCTGTTGGATACAGTTAGGCGCCAAACGTTCACCAAATCGTCGGTATACAAGCTGCCGTCCATCGTTTTTGAAGATGAGGAATCTGCTCTCATCAGAGAACATAACATGTGCCCAGTCCCGCCGTTGCCAACGTCGAACTCGCCTGGCCCAGATCAGTCTGTTGTTTCGGTGTCGAGGCGTCAGGAGCGGTCCGCGGTAGGGATGACGTGGCCGGATACCATACTGCCGTAGTCTCCTGTAGACGGTCTGTCGACTGATCCTGTGTCCCAGTGCTGTAGCCGCCGTGGACGTCGCTGTTACGGTGCGGTTCCTCAGGTGTAATACCCGGATGTAACGATCTTCACGGGGCGTGGTTACTCGTGGTCTTCCACTCCTGGGCCTGTCTGACGTCTGACCTGTCTGACTTAACCGCTGCATCAACCTGGTGATAGTGATGCGTGCGCAGCCCAATCTTCTGGCAAAAGTCGACGTGTGTCGGTCCTTGTTGGACCATTCCAACGGCTCTCTCTCTCTCGATGGCTGTCAAACAGGGCATATCTTGTGTTCTTTTTGTTGCTGTGATATCAACGTGTCTGATCAGCCGTTTTATACAGTTTTTATGCACGTGCAGAACATGCTAGAGAGGGAAATGTCACTTTCACGAAATTTACGTTTTTTCCCGGAAGTGATCACGTGTTCCCGGTAATTTTATCGACTATGCTGTGTTTGGGATGTGCAATACGAATTGGCATGTTTTCATATTAGACAATTCACTTAGTAAAAAACAATTTTGAAAATAAGTTGGTATCGTTTCTTTTGGACACTAGTTTATAAGCATTTGGCATTAATGTTACTAATATGGGTTTCGAACGATTTGTGGTCGTCACTGACAATCATTAATATCCATACACCACACCTTTTATCACAGAGACAAGTTCACTAAACTTAGATTAGCCAAAAATTTCTAATCATTAAAGAATGAAGCATCAGACTGACATTCAAGCTATGCTTAGACGGGAGATACAACCTATATTTAAATCAATGCTGGAAAACTTATTGACTGGTCAGGAAATGTGACAAGTTTGACACTTTGAACTAATATTCTAAAATCAAGAACCCATGCCTCAACTAAGACATTAACTAGATATGATCTGTAATATACAAATACATATTTTGATACTTAAAACAAATGATTTTACTAATCCAATTAAATTTAGCAGCTAATTAATGAATACAAAGGTGACCAAAAAGTGATAATAACTTTAGGCATGCTATACTGACATGAAAAGTAAAGACAGGCACGCAGAGAGAAATACTAAAATAGTGATAATTATGTTCTGCCTATTCATGCCGACTAAATTACAAGTTGCAAAGTTACAAGTTTACCATGCTGACAACAAAAATACTATTAGAATAAATACATAATTTTTGGTCTAACAATGCAATTCTAGTGATAATCAATAAATGTCTGATTTTCAGTCTGAGAATAGTATTCTAGCGATCGTAAAAAATACCTGAATTTTTCGGTCTAACAATACAATTCTAGCCATAATGGCTAGATTTTATGTAAGATGACAATGGTCCAGTGGTACACCGAAACAGCTCTCGAATAAACAATGACATAGCGTTATATTGAGCTGCTCGACGATAAGAATGATGCTACTAAAACCTTACCTGGTCCAATCAAAGAAGAATGTGCCTCCAGTTTTTGTGATTTCTCAATGTTGATTTTAAGTTGTCTTGCAATTTTTCGACCCTGTCTCTTTGCCTTGCTTTTCGACGCACGCTTTTTAAGCTTTTTTATGCGCTTTTCCATATCTTTTCCTGAAGGTCTTTTGTAAATAATACGAGCTGCTGATTGTTTTGGCATTGGTGATTGTAATATTAACTTAGATTTTGTAATAGAATATCTGCCAGGAATGCTCACTTGCGTTTCTTGTTCGTGTTCATTGGGTACTTTGTTTGCCACTTTTCTAGATATTGAAGATCTAATTGAATTTGTTATTCCATCTTCATTCGTGTCCATTCTTCCAACGTTTCTGAAAATATGAGACTTCCCCAAGGTCTTTTGCTGATGTTCATTCTTGGGAATGTTAGCGTTGGTCGAGTCGTTATTATTTATGTATTTCGAAAACATTTTAAAAACGGTCACATTTCCACTGTATCCTGACTCAGTGAAGACGCTCAAAATTATATAGAAAATAAATATCAAAAACACAAAAACAAACACACGTTTTGACGTCGTTAAATTCATTCCGAAGAGGATGTTCTTTAATTTTTCCCACGTGAAATACAAATTCGGCAAAAATATGAGTTGTAAAATTCCTGTTTCTTTTTTAAGATTTGTAACTTACTTATTCCACAAATCTAACAGAATGTAACACATGCGATATCAACAATATTTTGATCGTTAACAACAATCGATTACAGAAAAGTACTTCGTTTCAAATATATTTTTTAACAAAAATAGCTTAATATTTTTTTTTTATCAATAATATAAATCATTTTTTTAAAGAATTGTTTGCATTTTAATATTCAACCAAAAAAATTAACATTTGTGAAATTTGTACGTAAAAATTTTTTATACCATCTGCATTTCATTCTGAACACAGAATACTACAATATGGCAAAGACGATTCTCTGTAGCTGTCAGAATCCATGATAGTTTTAGGGGCGTGGCTAAGAATTTAGACGGATAATCAAACGGAATAAAGAGAGTATGCAATACGTTTTCGGTTTGTTTTTGATTTTATGATACGGATACGGCTGTAAATGAAAAGCGTTCTCGGCGCGTGGAACTTTCCTTGAAGAAGTTAAAATTAATCCGTGTAGTCACTCTGATGTTATGAAAGACATCTGGATCGAATGTCGCCTGTCAGGTATGTGTTACATTTCACGAAATTATCCGTTCTGAGAACCTTTCCGAGATCATCTCTTCGAGGTGGGCCAAAATTGTAACGTTTCTAAGACCGTTCGACCTGTTTCGTTCTGAGAACGGATAAATTTTGAAATGTAAAAGTGGTTACACACATGAAAGCTCTCTATGTTTACAAAACAAGCAAACATTACTAAAACGTATTTGGTGGTGATCATTAATAAATAACCGTATGATGGCTACTAAATGTAATCGTGTCACACGTTGAACGCGATGTATTTCGTGGAAGTTAATATTTGCACTCAGACTAAACGATTTATTGCAGACTGTATATATTTTTCACAATATCGTGGACATAAATCTAATGATTTTACACAATGTATACGCCACATTCAATCCTTTAATCAATATTACATTCAAACAATAGTATACCACAGCCATGGCATTATAAATGTTGAAACTAACACAATAGGCTGAAATAGGTAACCATTTAAGCTTGACGAGTAAATTTGATTAAAATTTAAGCGTTTCAAGTCGGCAACCATTATTGTTCTTCCCACCCAGAATAGAAATGATGTTGTAGCTTGCAGTTTTCAGCCTATTTTCTTTTAAAGTGACATGTTCACCATCGTTTTACAAATTGCATGTCTCAGAAATAGGAATATCATACTATTTTCAGCTCACTGTCGAAATTTGATCCTTCAAATCCATGTGTGAAATTATCTGCGTTTGAATGATAAATGACGACTCGTCTTTTCCTGAGACCTTGCAATGTAGAAAAGATATATTATGTAGAAATATACAGTGAAATTTCTAGTAAAAGATATATTTGAAATAATCGTGCAGACTAGGTCTATTTACATAAATAAACAAAGTATGCTACTAACGATCCGAAATGTAAAAACGAAACTTAAAATACAAAACAACATTTCTGCGAAGCATCAGTTGCAGCTAATGAACTTCTCACATGAGGAAGTATATATCAATCATAAGTGGGTAGGTATTTCATAATGCAAAGTGCTATCAGGTGTCTAGAAGAGTAAGC